AAGCTATTTATTTATTGAAATATATTAGTGATTAGCTGTTTATCTTAATATAGTATAATTGATAAATAAAATAAAATGTATAATTCACATTCAACAGTGGATATACGTGTTACATACTACGACCACATACTTTTTTAAATTTTCGATTATAAATGATCGGTGATTGCATCGTATTATTGATTTATATTGACTGAAGACTTTATCGCATACCTATTGTACCATAAAATTATATTTATAAAAATAAAATTTATGTTTGACAAAAAACAAAAATTTATACTTTAATCAGTGCAAGGCTATAATTAAATAAGAAATATTAATTACGAAATGTTGAAATATACTATAAAACATGAATTTTTGTATTCTTATAATCGAAATATGCAATTATATTCATTTTATCCAAAATATGCAAAAACATGCAAAATAAAAACACCACAATTTATCTCATCTTGAGGTGATTCGTGGACATAACTGACAAAATCAATAATTATAAGTTGCAAAAAAAACATGCTATTGCATATAAATCCTAACCCTGTTAATTATTATTATACTGCTGTTATTCAATTATTTACCATTAAATAAATTAATATGTTTTAAATAAGTCTTTACATTTATGAAATATTTTGTAAGCATTATAAATGAATTTGTCAATTAACTTTTTTTAGTTATTATTTAAAATATTTTGAAATAAATTGTGAGTGTACCTTAAAGCCTAAATTATTATTATTTAAGAATATTGACGATAATAATTAATATTAGTTATTACTAATATCCATATTATAATATTTATTATAATTTATATTTTATAATGAAACTACGAATTTAAGTATTGTATTATATGTTTTAAATTTAAAATAGATTACCCATCATTATTTCATGGTTAATAATACTACTACACACATGACGACCGAAAAATCCGGCCGACTATTGTCTAAAACTGACTGTCGTATTCTTGCCTTTTCCCAAAATAGAATTCATTTGGAATAATTATAATAGAAAAAATAATCAATTGTTTCACAATTTTCGTCAGTTATATTGTTATTATTTGTACTCTAATTTATATCAGTCTTCAGTTTGATCTACGATTTTGCAGTCGACACTTAATTATCACGTTGTTGTAGTATATGAAAATAAGGCTTATTTATATTATATACAGTTGAATGAGACAAAATATTTTTCGGTAATTTATATTTTATATCTGTTTACTGATTATTAAAATCATGGTCGGGAGAAAACCTTCGGTTGATCCATTAAGGATTATAAACGCAGTACTTCACTATAAAAATTCAGTAATCGAAGAAAACGGTAGTGAAAAAAGTAAGTAAATTTTCATTTAAAATTGTAATAATTACTACATTTTTAGTTCATTAGACTTATAAGTTCTTTAATATTTTAAACACAGTAAAGCATTTCTATAATGGACCATGTAAGTTTATAAGACGGAATCCTCTTTTCATGTCTATAGTACGTTTTAACGACCTAAATATCCGTTCTGAAATAGTACTTCTTCTCTACCCCGCTTGAATAAGCAGCCTACCGCATCATAGGTCAAAACTGGTTATTTATCGTAGTCGTGCACGGGTTATATTTTGACTTTTTTTGAGCTATTTATAGGCATTTGAAAAAATCAATTTACTTTTATTTTTTTTTTTATAAATGTTGATAAAAAAAATTTAGCTCGGACAAATTACTTGAAAATTTAATTGAAGGGTCCACATAACTTGTTCTAACTCTCATTCCAAAATTATAAAAATACAGAGGCACAATTTTTTTTATTAGCATTTGAAGTTCAAATATTGACAAAAATTCGTCAAAATCATGAATATTTTTAACTATTTGGTAGTTAAAAATTTATAAATATTTTATTATCAAAAGCTATGAATTTAAAATATAATACTATGCTGTCCATAAGTTAAGCTCACAATAATTATAAAAAAATTTGAGGATTATTCAATTTAAAAAATTTTGCGAATGTTTAAAGTTCTAATTTTAATTTGAAATCAAAAATACACGTGTAAAATAACGTGTTACTATTAAATAATTTTTGATTTTTGTTATTTTTAAAAAATTACTAATCGTAGAAACTTGAAACATGCACTTGTTATTTAAATTGGCAAAATGGTTTTATGTAATAGAATAATTCATACATTTTAATTTATTAATAATTGTGCTATTTTAGAAATTGTTGTAGCGTCAAACAATGTATGGTCAGACATAAGTAATCGTTTAGGTGGTTCTATTAGCAAAAATGCACTTTATATATTTGTTCAACAAGGACGTCATGGTATACATGAAAAACTTGGGATTGGTATAGCAAACAAGAGACTTGAATCTGATCATAATGTTCAATGTGTGGAGCCTATAGATGAATTTGGTAATATTATAAAATTAGAATAAAATGTTACAAAAAAATGTAATTCTTATAAAAAAAAATTTAAACAATCAATTAATAAAAATAAATATAATATAAATAATAATTTAAATTTCTTATACAAATTCCTTTTTATTTTTTTATTTATTTACTGAGTTACATACTAGTTAATATTTTATGAAATATAATTATAATTTATAGATGAATCTAGTGATAGCAGTGGTGACAATGTAGAAAACTTACCAACTAAAAAATTTACTATCACATTGTCTACTGATGAATGGAAACAAATTAAACCTAATGAAGTTCTGTATAAAAATAAAAATAGTTTTCGTTCTTATTTGGTACTGCCAAAAGGATCGTGGACAAATATTCTAGCTGAACATATATGGATGCATACAAATTTACCTTGCTGTATTGCATTTCGCAGAGCTAAAGTTACAGATGAAGGAAACCATTTTATTGTTGTTGATGGAAGATGTTCAATATGCTATTCTTATTTTAAGGGAATTATATTTGAAAGACCGTCAGAAAATTCTAGGTAAGTACCTATGTTTTATTGATGATTTAACTAATCTATAGTTGAGAAATAAATTTAATAACTATTATAAAACTTTCAGTACTATTATTTGTTTCTTTTGGTGTATAAATTAAATATATATAAATATATAGTTTTATAATTTAATTGCTGATCTTGTGGGTTTTTTTTAATAAATTATATAATATGTATATTGTATAATAAATTAATAAATATATATGATATAATATATATAGTTTGAAATTTTAGAACAGTGTAAATATAATTAATTAAAAATAACAGAAAATAAATTAGTAGTTATGTAATATTTTGTTTTTAAAGAGTTCTTATGGAATGTACATACACTGGACAGTTTGATGATCCACATAAAATTATAAAAAAACGTCGGTTAACAGAAAAAGCTAAAATGAATGTGATATCAGCTATTGTAAATGATGGAAAATCTAGTGAAACATACAGAGAATTTGAAGCAGTACGCCTCATGAAATCAGGTAAAATAGTATTTAATATACAATATATATTATAATAGATACCTAACTTATTTTTGTTTTTTTTTTCATTTTCAAGTCAATACTTAAAATAACAATGATTCTCTGAGTAATTTGACCAATTCAATAAATATAATTTTAGTACTGATTCCTAAATGTTGGATACTTATCAATAACTTACATAAATTATTCTTACTTTTTGGCATCACATTAAAAAATAAATAAATAATGACTTAGTTTTTTACAACACTTACTATAAGTGAAATTTGAATTATTTGTATTAAAATATAATAGGTACATTAGTATCAATTAAATATAAATTAATTAATATTAATATAAAATAGTTTTAAAACTCACTAAAAATTAGTAATTTATACATTTTCTTCTACCACGGAATACGATGTTATGTTTAAATCTGAATTTTTAGGAAACATTGAGCCTGCAGTTATTCCATCTGGCGGAGCTTTAAGAACACTAAAATGGAGATATAAATCGGGGCAACTTAGAAATAAAGACACACTAACAGCTTTGGCGTTAATGAGAGAAGAAGATGAATACAAAAATGTTTTACAAGATATGGGTTGTTTTCCTTTTTTTCTTTATTACCAAAGTAGTGAACAAATTCATATATACCGGGAATATTGTCGAAATTGTCCTCGACCAAAAATTATAATCGATGCTACTGGATCTGTTATTAGTAATTTTAAAAAATTTGGTACAGAAAAAACAAAATCATTGTTTTTATATGAAATATTGGTATATGATGCTACTAAAAAACATAGTTTTACTGCTAGTAATATGATCAGTGAACGCCATACAAATATTGCAATATCCAATTGGTTTGCAAGATGGCTCAGTTGTAATATTCCACCTCCAAAAGAAAGTGTATGTGATCAGTCACTAGCCCTATTATCTGCTATAGTAAAATGCTTCACACAATATTCCTCTCTTCAAGAATATCTTAATGTGTGCGCTGATTTAACATTAAATCAGCTAGATTCAGATTCTCGTTGGCTCCCCCAGTGTTTTGTTAGAACAGATGTTGCTCATTTTATAAAAATGATAAGTAGATGGCCACCTCTTAAAACAACACCTAGACGAGTCAAAGAAATAGTTCTTAGACTATTTGGATTACTGGTAAAAAATCAATCCATCGAAGAAATATATTCTTTAGTGTTTTCAATGTTTGTAGTGTTTAATAGTGAAACAGATGGGAATGATATTGAGATGGGCCATGAAACACCTTGCGAGCGGCACAAAAAAAAACTGATAGAAGCTACATCATCAGGATTTATTAATTATGAAGAAGAATTTAATGAAATCATACTTATAGCTGAAAACGAAGATGATGCCAGAGTTCTATTGGAGGAAGAATATGAACGGCAATATGAAGGTCTTGATAATTTAATAAATCCATTTAAATCTTGGGCAGATGAAATTTTAAAAAGAAGTCAATTATTAATAAGAGAAGGGTCAGGAATTAATGCAATGTACATACCAACTTTAATTCCACACATAATTAAATGTTTGAAACTTCTCCCTTTATGGTCTGGTATAATGGTTCCTTTTTTTTGGATTTGGAGATGAAACTACAAGTTCTGCAGCTGTAGAATCCAGCTTCAAAAAACTTAAAACACTGACATTTAAAGATATTTCACTTCCTACTAATATTGAAACCTTTTTAGAAAGACATATAATTTCACTGCGTGGTACATCTTTATTACGGTCTTCAAATCAAAATGTACCATTAGACCTTCAACTGCAAATAAATAATAATGATCAAATTCAAAATGAAGACCAACACACAGAATGTAACGACCAAAGAATAACAGAAAATATAGAACTGCAAATAAATAATACTGATCAAATTCAAAATGAAGATCAACACACAGAATGTAACGACCGAATAAGAGAAGATATAGAACTGCAAATTGATAACGCTAGTAGTATTCAAACTGACAATTTAAATGAAGAAGACATAGCAGTAGAAAGTTGGAACCGTAAATCAAAAAAAACAGAGGACTACAAAATCATACCTCGAAATTAATCCTCACTTAAGGCATTTGAACATTAACACCTCAAAAAATATAATGTCATTGCCGTTATTAAAAAATGGATCTCGAGCGGAGGAACTAAAAAGTTGTGTTGTTCAAAGAATTGGTAAAGTAATTATGAGCAACACGTGTGCATTTGATACGGTTACTTCCATTATTATGGTTGCTTATTGTGATAGTGTCAAATACAGTCAAGAGTTGAACAATTTTTTGGAAAGCAATAAATATTTTTCATTTATATCAAAAATTGTAAAACAAGGTATTACATCATCAACTTATTCAGATAGAGCAAGCATAATGGTAAATATTTGAATTGAAATCATAAAATAATTTTTTTTTTTATTACATAATATAGTAGGTAAATATATAATAATATAGTTATCTAATTTTCTTTATTGTAGGTACACCTAATTAACATGTATTTATTAAAATGTTCTCTGATTTAAAAATACTGTATTGCCTAATACTTAATAAATAATATAATTTTGTATGTTGCATTATATATTTATATGTATTATGAAGATTTGAAATTGATTTCAGATAAGTGAACTTCAACCAACTATGGAAGTTATAGAATATGAGACCGTTCTAGCAGTTTGTAATACCACAATAGGATATATAATTAAACACTTATTTAAAGATCTTCCATCGGCTTTAGACAGTATTAAGTGTACTAATCCAAAATGTAAAAAGACAACATTGACCCCTATAGCTATACCTTACATTAATATTCAAATTACAAATGGGGATTTAAGTAGCCTACAACAGGATATAGATAGTAGACTAACAACTAGAACATCACTATGTGGTTATACTGAAAAAAACAGTACACCATGTACTGGTAATAAAACGGTGACATCAACTACAACAAAAATGCATGTATTTATTGAGCTCCTCAATTGGATAGGTATTATATTTAATTTCTTATTGTTTAAATATGGTTATTATGTTATATAAGTTATACCTTTATTTTTATTTTAGATGAGAATGAAATTAACAGCAACCAATATAGCGCCGAAGCAGCACCACACCCTAAAATAAAATTATCAAATATTCCACCTGTACTTATAATAAATGATAAAGCATTTGAACTGAGAGGTGTATTTTGCTACCGACAAGGATTAAGTAGGTTAAGAAACTCAGTAGGACATTATTATGCTTACGGAAAAAGAGGACCAAACAACTGGGAGATATTTGATGATATAAGAAAGAAATCAAAACCTATAAAAAATTCGATTGTTGCTCCATGTGAATATTTAGTTTATACGATTTGAAATATTTTTAAATTATTTTAAAACTGTATTCAATAAAAGGATTTTTATTTTATTTTAATATAGTACAAATACTCATTTTATAATGATCAAGATGAGTTTGTTTTAAAATATTTTAAACAAAAATAAAATTCAATTGTAATTTGTAAAATAATTTTATACTGTTCTCTCAAGGTAGAAATAAGAAATTTGAATTCGAGCGCAGAATGTAAAAAATGTTTTAATGATTTAATTGGTTGGTGGTTGGATAATTTCAAACTACTAATATGAATTTGTTTCCTACTTCGCCTCTGTAATATAATAGATGTTGAGTAGGTATACATTTTTGTAATTTTTCATCATTCTTACTTATCACAATATTATTATTACTTACTATACTTAAACGGCTAAATCACTAATATATAACTATATAAGTATAGTATAAAATTTAATAAAATTATTAATGTTGTGTCGATTTCAACTGTTAAACTAGGTATAATAATTTTATTTCTAGGTATCAGTTGTACATTATTGTATAATAGTTACATTATAAAACGAAATAGCAAATTATGATTGAAATACTTGTTATACTTCTTATTAAAAGTAGGTGTAATATTATAAAATAAACAAAATATTTTATATAACGTATAATAATAAGTAATTATTGAAAATGTTGTGTATTATTGTGGTACTAGTGACTAAAAATAGATAAAATTTAAATTCGAGCGGAGAGTAAAAAAAAGTCTCAGTAATTTAATTGATAAATAGTGTAGGTGTACAGATAAATTTCAATCTAGTCACCCCCCCAAAAAGTTTTATCGCGATAACCACTAAACTGATTGCGTACGAATTTGCACATTGCGCGTACAAATACGTACAAATAGATCGGAAAGGATTGGTAAAAAAAAAATGTCATATTTCTACGTCGGGGCTGGGACGTCACGCACCTCCAAAGTTTAATCGCGATAACAGCAATGCGTAACTGA